TATATATATATATATATATATATGTATATATATATATATATATATTCATATATATGTATATATATATATGTATGTATATAGACGGGGGATTCGTTGGCTTTACCTTGCCTGTCTAACTAGCTTGCTTGAAATTTTTATGAAAACAGCGATCACACTCGTACAGTGACTACAGACGGCATAAGTGTACGTAGTTTCTGACAGCGCGTAAGCACGTCTCTTTTTTCTCTGTCTTTTTTTTTTTTCTAATAATCAGAGAAAATTTTCTAATAAATTAATTGTGTATAATAACAATGAAGAGAGAGACCAAAGAAAACATATTTAATTAAATATACGTGTTGTGTGCTAAGAAGAAGAGGAAGAATTATTCTGATAATATCCAATGTACATTTCGATGGTATTTTCAAAAAACTAACAAATTAAAATAGTTTATATAAAATGGAAGTTTATTTTACGTAAAAAAAAAAAAAAAAAAAAAATTAAGAAAAAAAAAAGACAAACAACAAAAAAAAGTAGAGGATTGAAAAGAAAAAAACATTTAAAAAGACTACAAAGTGTCTGTATTTAATCATTAAGCTGCAGCTGTGTGCATACTGCTATGCCATGTGTAATGTATGTGAGCAGTGAATGTGTATGCATCGGTGTGATTTTCTTTCTTCTCGCACACACTGCAGTAGCTTGGTGGTTTATATGAAAAACAAAAAAGCAAGATTAAGCGAACAGAAAGAGAAAAAGAAGGTGAGAGAGAGAGAGAGAGCTCCTTAAAAATAAAGTTGCAGCTTTTTTTTTTTTTTTTTAAAGAAAATCTTAAAAAGAAATTGCAAAAAAAATAAGTAAACGTAAATTAAATATATACAAAGAAAAAAAGGAAATTTAAAATTTTGTTTGTTTGCATGTATCGAAGTGTATATATATATATAAAGGAAAGAAGAAAGATTAAAAATTGAATATACAATATCGTATAATTAAAATTGGGCGTGTAATGTCGGTCGATATTGAAATTATTAGCGTAATAGGGGCCAATGGCCAACCTTTACCGTTGCATGGCAATAGCATCGGCTCGAATTGGAGTGGACATGTTAAACAAGAGCGGCCAGACGATGCCGAGATACAAGAGTTAGCGGCAAAAATGAAAGAGGCCCAAAAGGATGCCTTGGCCAAACAACAATTACAAGCGGCTCAATTAGCAAATCGACAGGCGATGGCCAATGGCGTTGGCTTACAACCACCGGTCAATAATGGTGGTCAGACAAACATTTTAAATTATTTAAACCGTCAAAGACCGAATAATGTCGCTAATGCCAATACAAATGGCTCAGTGACGACAAATGGCCGACCGCCAAGCACAGATGATAATAAAAAACCGCCCTGCGATGAAGAATCACAAAAAGGTCGCTTTGGTTGGACCACATTAGGTAAAACATATATACCGTATATATTTCGTGCTTCCGAGAAATATTGTTCGGTTCGTATGGTGGAGAATAAATTACTTAATAAATATCTACACTGTCTGCACTCTGATATTTATTCGAGTTGTACATGTGTGCGTTCCTATTATATTACACAGGCGGAAGCTGCCCTCCTTCACGATATCAATTCCAAACACTGTGATTGTGAATTCACCAAAGAAATCTTTACACAAAAAGATCTTATCGTACGCTTGTCGGATGCCACCAAATTTTATCAGTTCCTCGACATTTGTTATCGCAAATTGATATCGGGCAGCAAGTCACCCTCAGAGAAATGCGGCTTTATACGCATCAATAAAGACTCGGTTGTACCGTATACGGTGCGTAATGGCGAGCAGGTGGTTCCATTGTTTTACTTTGAGGGCGAAACTGAGAATCTTAAACAGAAGGCCGACTTATTATCAGGCTGGGACTTGGCCTATTTAAAGTTCTGTTGCAAAGTTCAGGGCATACGCAATGAATTATTTTCCAGTGAGAATGTTGCCGTAATATCGTTAACAGATATTAAAAGTTACTTTCCAAATGGCACCGAATTCGAAGATTATTGGCCCAGCAAAGTAGTTGATTCCAATTTGCTTATTGGTAATCGGTCAAACAGTAATAATACAGTAAATTGGACACGTCAACCCTCGCAACCGCCACCGAAAAGTCTACCGCCAAGCGGATTAGGTCAGAAAGGACAGCATGCTTCGGCATCTGCGGCACACCAAGCGGCTGCTGCGGTCCGTCAACCGGAATTTAGACCAAGTGCAGACGCCATTTCATTGGAAAATTTCAATTACGCCGCTTTTCGCTCACTACTAAGACCAGGTCAATCCGCTTTATTACAACAACCGACAACAGCGCAACGTCTACATCCTAATGCAGCTTTAGCGCAAGCCACCGTACAGGTATATACATTTGCTATTTTTTTGATCCATTATTTCTCATATTTAATGAAAATGTAATAATGCAAATATGTTTTAATGCCTCTTGTTTTACTGTCATGTTTTTGTTTTTCTTTTTTCTCTTCTTCTTCTCTTCTTTACTTGCATATGAAAAAGGCTTTAACAAATGGTTCCTTGATGTCACAACCGCAGAATAATTTACCTTTGCTGCACCCACAAATGTTAGCATCACAGGTGAGTGAATATCTTTAATGACTTTCAATAAATATTTTTGGTTCTACGTTCCGTTCTCGGATGTTAAACAAATTCATCTATGATTATTTGTTGCTACTTGTGTAAAACAAGAAAAGTAAGAAAGTTATAGTCGCCTTGGGTGATATTGTGTTCTGAACAAGTGTCT